AGACCCCTATCGATCCTAATATTATTATTTTTAATAAGAGCAATGTACGTATTGTACACTTATACCCCCTAATTATTCGCACTTATTTGTGGAGTATTTTTTTTAACGTATGGTAGCATACATTTTGTGTGACTGTCAGTCATTGTTATTTCTGCTGGTCTGTGAAATGAGCAAACGTTTGTGAAGACATTCATAAACGCGTTTTACTTAATTAATTAATTAATAATTGTATATTAAAGTATTACAAACGCACGAGAACCTTTTAAGGATAATATATTTGTGTAAAAAAAATGATAGGTGTGGGGTTATAATAAAATGTAGTGGTAGCAGGGGGGATATTTTAACAACAAATAACTTAAGTACTATTAGCAACAACATTGTTAAAGTGATAAATATAGTTAAAGGATACCTCCATTAGTATCCCTACCGGGTTTCATAAAAAAATTCAGTATACTTTGCACGGAATAGCAATTGGTTCCGTAATGCAAATCTTAGCCAAGGCAACTTTTAGCTGAAAGCAACAATCGCCTCGTGTAAACGGTCTTGCAACTAATCGCATTTAATGAAGTTGGCTAGCTTCCTATGTACTTTCGTTCAACTTTCGATTCAACTAATCGCCTGTGAAAGTTGAATCATTTAAATTCCCTATTAACGGTCCATGTTCGCTGTTTATGGTGCGGTTCACGTGCATGATTCAATAAGGTTATTGAATCATGGTTCACGAGCATGTTCGCGAAACATTATGAAATTTTGTTCAGCATGTTGGCGAGCAACTTGCATGTGAGCAGTTGGTGCCAGTGTTGGCACTAATCGATTGATTTTTTAATCAATTAGTTAATTTGATTAAATTCAATCGAATTACAGTTCATGATTTAATTTAATCTGATTAAACAGTTAATCCTAACCGTGATTAAAAAAATTAATTTTTAATCATTAACCCTTAATTTGATTAAGTAGGTTTGGTGATTAATTAACTTATGCTGAATTGTCTAAGCAATTTACCGCCCTATTCCCACAACACTGACAAAATTTATCGTATGACTATTGTCACAATTATTGCGCCTAAAACAAAATATGTATGTATAAACATTGGGGTTGTTTCGCCGTTGTCGCGTACTCAGTAGGTCTTAATAACAACACTGACAAATGTCACCATACGAGAGTTTAAAATAAATTTGCGGCATAGTATTAGGCGCAGTAGTAAACGCAATAGTCAGCCGCTGAGTTTTGTCAGTGTTGTGGGAATAGGGCCGTTAGTGTGTATTTTCATTAAGATCTATTCCAACAGAAGTTATGCAAACTAGGTTTTAATATCTCTCTGCACATGTGCGATGGGTTGTAAAACTTCCCAGTTTATGTTATACAAATTATAAAATAATTTGTTTATATAAGTAGTGTATGTTTTTTATAAGCGTCAAACACAAAAGAATAACCGTAAATGGTGTTTGATTTAAAATGCGGACAAACTAGTTTTTTTTTTTTTAAATCGGATTAACGATTGGTTGGTGCACTGTTTTGACATTCCTGCTGTAAACATTTTACAATTCATAAATCAGTTTTAAACTCTTTGCTTTACACACAAGCACTTACAAAGTCCAGTACATCATTCATATTTTGATTTATACTCCTTTTTCTTTGATTTACTCTTAAAGCGCAGTTACCCATGGACGTAAAAACGGAGAACGTGTCAGCTGACACGATCTATCTTATGGGATCTGCGTGTTAACCAAAACTCACCACCGCATGACCGTGACGTAGACGTTACTTCTCTCTCTTTCTATCAACAGCACACTTGACATCTTTCTACGTCAGAGGCGTAACTATAGGGTGGCATTGCTGGCAAAATGCCACGGGTGCCCGATACGAGAGGGCCCCGGCCCAAGAGACCGCGAGATCAGAAATAACCTAACATTTTCAACAACACTAAGTTCTTAAAAGTTATAATTTTTTAAGTACTTAAAATCAATTAAAGTGAGACACAACTAAAGACCATTTCTGAAACGTTGTGTAAAAACCGAAAGTTTTTTATTTATTCTGATAATCAACCTCAAAAGCTACATTTTATAAACAGACACTTGTTTCCTATCTTATTTTGTTTTAAAGATAAATCTGTGGTCATAAGAAATAATCGCCTAAGTCGAAAAACCTGAATTCGAGAAAAAACGCTTTAAAGATTTATATATAGCGTCACACATACGGAAAATTTGGCGAATCCTATAAAGTTAGAAATTAAACTAAAGTGTTTTAATAATGATCAAGGTTCAAAGAAAGTATAAAAAATATTAAATTTGGGAAAATACACGTTGATGACAAATCTATAAACTGAAATCTGTGGCCTTTATTACCTACTCTACTAGACTACATATATTCTGCAATTTGATCGCATGCGAGGTACAAGAGAAATGAACACGCACCGCACACATTGGATGTCAGTCGTCACTTGTTTCTAGATGCTTTCAGATGTACATATCTGTGGTCATAAGCAATAACCGCCTAAGTCAACTTAAGAAATCGTTCCCGTAACCGGAACGACCCAGATTTATATCTGGCCAAGGACTGTCACTCCAGCAACACTCCCCAAAAACCCGTTAGGGAACTTGTATGCTGCTACAACAACAACAACTTAAGAAAGGATCGTTTTCCGCAACTACTATTCCATGTGTATGTGAAACTCTCATCTCGTTACCCAGGCTATTTAAAAAGTTATAGATTAAAATATTTTGGTTTCCCATAAGGTTAACATAAAAATCCAAATCTTTAAAGGGTTTTTTTCTCGAATTCAGGTTTTTCGACTTAGGCGATTATTGCTTATGACCACAGATATATTAACAAATGATATCAGGAGTTGACGGGTGAGTCAGAGAAATATTTTTCTTCACTCGTTCCTCGTACCCAAAGATTTAACCTTATATGTACATATACTTTACTTTATGTCGTGAAGTATGTACTGCAATAATGTTATTTGCTCCAATTACTGTACATACAGCTAGTACTGAACGATAATTTTCGAAAAAAAAAATACCTATTTGAGAAACTCTATGGAACAAGACAGGCTACGTAGCTTGGCTATTCTGCCTATTGAAAATTCTGTGGCTCTATCTTTAAATTTTGATGATGTTATAGATTCTTTTGCGGAACACAAAGCTCGGAGAAAAGAATTCTATTAATAAATATATTAACAAAATTAAATTGGAAATTCATTATAAACATGTATAAACCCATGCTGTAGAAAATAAGATTTATTGGATATTTAAATAAAATGCCCACATTATTGTTAATATTGTTGGGTAACTACTTAACCCTCTCAGTACAAAAAATCACCCGCTGAAGCTAAAAATCTGAAAATTTGTTTACCGGCTAATTTCCGGCCATGGATTTCAAAAATACAATCAAAAATTTATATAATAAAAGTCCTAGCTTTACCGTTATTCGGCATCCATTATATTGGTCAGTGGTACTCTAGATTTGTAAACAGGGATGTGATATCAATAATTTTTATTTTTTTCTTTTACGAAATATATTCCAAAACTGTGAATAACATTTAAAATTTTTTTCGGATCTAAATTCCACAGAAAAATTGTTAATTTCTTTATGTATATTACACTACTCAATATCGATTTTTGTGACACTTTTCACTTTTGTGAAAAAACACGGCCAACTGCATCCCGAAAATACAATAAAAGAAATGATATACTTTTCTCAAAACAACTGTTATTTTCAAAACAAAAGGTCTTATTAAAGAAAAAAATAGCTTTAAGTATAAAAAAAAAATTGTTCAATGTATTGGACTATCGTACTGAAAGGGTTAAGTCGTTTATCAACCCTAGACTACTAATGTTCGTTGATTCGACGACTAGGTACTTCTTTTATTTTAATAATTTTTCTTTACTGAGTGGTATGACTGCGGTCGGAGGCCGCTGTGGGATAGTGGTAAGCAGTGCGCGTTTCCACTCAGCAGGGCCTGGGTTCAAGTCCTGGTTCAAGCAACATCGCAAAAAAATTTAGGGAAAAGGTTTTTTCTTTACAGCGGTCGCTCCTCGGCAGGCAATGTCAAACCTCCGAGTATATTTCTGCCACGAAAAATAGCTTCGCATAAAAATACAATCGCTGTTCGAAGTCGGCGTAAAACTGTAGGTCCTCAGGCGCACGCCACAAATCGGAGGAGAAGCTCGGCCAAACAATAACATTACTTATTTAAAAAAAAAATGTATATCTTTTGATACATTGCTGGTCTTTCTGTTTGTTTTATTAATATGTATGTATTCATAAACCAAAACAAACGTTTATAAAGTTAGTTAACAAATAAAGAATGAAAAATGAAGATATAATATATACATACATACTGTGGTCGAAAAGATTTAAGTCGACCCAAATCTTGACCAGTTTTCACAACTATTATTTTTTGTTTGTTATTTAATTTGAGTTCATTAACAAACCCCATTAATCAGATTTTCTAGAAGGATTCTTGAAAGTTTTGTAGCCCACTCAATTCTAGTATAATAAAAAGAAAGTTTCAGTGCTAAAAATTTTACGTTTTAGAACGATTTTAACGAAGATGTTGCTGGTTTCTTCCATATAAAAA